AATGTGCTAATTTTATTCGTCCAAAATGATTTAAATTTGTCAGCTGATAACAGCAGAATTATTGAACACACAATCGGAAATTCTGTAAAACACCTGTATGTAGATGAAGTCGCATGAGGTGATCCGAGTGTGTACGGTAGCGGTAGAATGAGACAACAGGTGTCACTGCCGCGTTATACAGAAGATCACTCGTCGGATTTCACAGGAAGTTAGTTACGCAACATTACGGCGACGGGTATACCTATCTGTTTTCAACACATTGCGCAACTCAACACAGTCATACATGCTTGAAATATGTCATCTTCAATCTTTTTTCTCAGAATAAATTATTTCTAAAAATGTACTTAAGTTTCAAACATTAAATGTATGATTACCCACAGTAAAACGTGAAACTCTGATTCGGGAAAGACACAAACTTTTCAGATTTAGCTGCATTTAAAAAAAAAACAAAAAAAAATTTATGAAATGAAGAAATCAATACTAAATATTGTTTTCGGGGAGAAGGGGTCTTCCAAAACATTTCAGTTAACATGATTAAGTTGGGTTATTGTGCGATGTAAAATTAAAGGGATAATCGAGTAGAAAAACAATAATTAATGTGCTGTCACTTTCATGTTTGTAAATTTTTGTTGATCAAATTAAAAAAAAAAAGGAAATTGGGGAAATAATTCCATGACTGTATATTAATTATTTTATTAACTTCTCTGAGATAGAGAGAGTAAAAGAGAGAAAGAAAAGAAAACGAACGGCAACGCGGCACGGGATACAGTGGAGACTTTCAGTGAATATTAAAAATGTTCATCCTATTAAAAAGGAAAGTAATTAGTATTAATCAAACCTGAAATTTAATAATTACAATTGTAGGTTGTACTAAGTGGTCAGAGGAATCTGTGCCATGCAAAATAGCGATAATAATTCTTCATGTGTACTAAATATTGCGTTTTTCATGTATCCTAGTAATTGCTAATATTGTAAGAAATATACCTTTTATTATAATATAATGCATTTATGACCAAAATTGCCGGGCGCAGTTTATATTTTGAAGCGCAAGAATTTACCATGTTTCTCGCGTTCAGTAGAAAACTCATGCTCGATTCAAACCGGAAACCCCAATCAGCGGTATAAGCACATGTAACGTGCATGACTTGAAGAGATGTCCAAGACCATTTAGAAATGAAATTACCGATACGTTTTAATTCAATTTTGATACGAATTTTTTTTAGATTTTTAAAAAACTAAAGATGTTTGTTTTGTTATACATGTAACTGTAAAAATAATATGATCGATGAAAACAATTATACATTTTAATACGGGTATATTAAGCATCTGTCTTTATAAGAATTATTTATGAAATTATGAAAACTACATTGTAACTTGTTGCTGGTAATTTATATAGATTGATTGATCAGGGATAGGGATGAAGTGAAATTATTCAAAGCATACACTGTAATTAATTTATTAAGCATCGTTTTGTCATTAATTATTTAACAGATATGATATCAATAATAAATATATAATTATACTATCTGAGAACTTAAACTTTGTTTCAAATAAGTTAAATCAAGACCGTTGCTAAATTAAAATAGAATAACACACACATTTTCATATAATTGCTGCTACCCCCAGCCTAAGAATAATAATAAATCTTCTATATAAATTGATAATTAGAGCTTTTCAATCATTTGAGCATTCTAATATGAAATTATTTATTTAAAAAAAATATTAAAATAAAAAAAATCATGTTCACACCTCTGCAGCCTCCCCGAGAGCGAGAACAATAGGGACAGTAATTATCAGTAAATGTCAGCACTTGTCTAAGTTTTTCAGTAGGGACAGTAAACGGGTCAGTAATTGTCTAAGTTTATCAGCACCGACTAATATTATCAGCACTTTTCTAAGGTTATCAGCACCGGCAGTAAAAAGGTCAGTAATTGTCTAAGTTTTTCAGTAAAGACAGCACATTGTCAGTATTTTTCTAAGTTTGTCAGTAAAAAATGGGAATGTCAGTACATTTTGGACTTAGTAGTGTAATCGCCGAATGAATCCTGTGTTTTCCTCTTAAGGAAATTCATTGATTGATTGATTGATTGTATGTTGTTTAACGTCCCTCTCGAGAATTTTTCACTCATATGGAGACGTCACCGGTGAAGGGCTGCTTGAAATTTTGACCTTGACTCGGCACTCAGGGCCATTGAGCAGTGAGGGATCTTTATCGTGCCAATGCCTGCCGCTGACACGGGGCCTCGGTTTTTAAGGTCTCATCCAAAGCACCCGCAACTTTCACTTCAAAGTGCCGAGGGCATGGCGAAGGAACAGTTGCTACCAATTTTAACGACTAGGTCAGTCGCGGCAGAGATACGAACTCACGACCTCCCGATCACGGAGCGAGCGCTCTACCGACTGAGCCACCGTGAACGGTAGGAAATTCATTGAAATGGACAGTATATTTATTTTCATGCGCTTTAAAGTTTGTAGAGCGCGTTTCTGCATGCAGTCTCATTTGATAATACTCAGAAATCGGTTTGGGTGGTGGATCTATTTCTCTTTCGATTATTTTTCGTTTCAATAATCGTTGAGCCTGTAACTGTTTTTCTCTAGTAGAATCCATGTCTAACAGCTGATGGCTCTGAGGGTAAAATGAACCCAAAGTGGGAGAAAAGTGGTATTTATACAGTGGATGACATCACAATGCATAGGTAAGTCCAACCTATTTTTGCACACGACCCTAATTTTTTTTTTTGCACACGGCTGTTACAGACCCAACAGGTATAGAAATGGTAGGTAAAACGTATTTTTTTTTTGCACACGACCCTTTGAATCGCTGCCAAGTATTACCTGTGTAATCAGCATAAAAAAGCGTGGGTCTATCGTAATTTTGCACACTACCCTAAAAAAACTCATGCTATATATAAACCAGCGATGGACATGAAGGATCATTCTGCGTGAGTACTTGGAACTCGACACAGGTAAAAAAGTTCAGTGGTAAAGTCAGAGGTATGGAAACAAGGTATCGCTGGTTTATTGAGGATTATACTGGCAAGAGTGGATCTTGGATGAAAACTAATCTGGGAGTGGCCATGAATTACTTTGAATATCATCCAGGACAATTCATGAAGGATTTCAGGAAAGAATCATTGGCTAACCAGGGATTTCTTGTAAAAATCTTTCCAGAAAAAATAGTGTGGCTGGAAAAAAGAGTGATAACCCCATGCCACCTAACAGGATCTAGAGTGAGGGTGAAAACAAAGCATCATTATCAGCAATACAATTGGGAGATCCAAAATGATCTTGGAACTCTGTATAAAGGTCTCTGGTACATTAATTTAGAAGAGTGCATTGAAGATTTAATGAGGACCAAGAAAGAAGAAACTTATACACAGTATCTATATTGTCGCATCCCCTTTACCTAGATTAAAGAAATGATGAAACAGTAAGGACATGGGGTGTTAAACTGAGTGATTGAGGATAGATCATCATCAGAAGAAGAGATGTAAAAAAATTGAACAAAATCTGTGTTCTTTGTTTGTCTTTGTTATTGTTTTCAGAAAACCCAGTTCAAACTGGCTGGCTGGCCAGACTGTCTAGACTGTGAATAAAAGCGTGACGACATAATTACATTCTTGAGTCGCTGCCAAAATCGTAGTAACAGCGTATAGTAAAACAAAACGTAGTACCAATGTATAGTAAAAAACTAGTTACAGTGTTTACACTTATATTTTAGGGTTATGTACTAACACACCTAGACCCCCCTAGGGTTGGGTTAAGGAGTTAGTTAGGGCTAGGGGGGTTAGGGTTAGGGTTAGTGCTGTACTGAGTTGACCCACCTATCCCCCAGACCCTAATACCTGTACTGAGTTGACCCACCTATCCCTCCAGACCCCCAACCTGTACTCTGTTGACCCACCCAGGGGCTTAGCCAATCAGAATCCACCATTCTTTTGACCTCATTTGCATAAAAAGTGCACTCAGTTGACCTGCCTATATAGACCTCTTATACTACTACTGCCCTAAGGTAACTAATTATCTATATACAGGTGTACAGGTAAAAGGCTAAGGAAATAAAGGAGCGGATCAAGCTTATTATACTTTTATCTATTATGGTAGTTTAATTTATTTACATTAAATTTAAAACACTTATTTATTAAGTACGCATATAATACATACTACTACAATATATCGAAACAATCAAAAAATACGCACAGCGTGTTTACCGGGAAATGTCTAAATTCTAAAATGAAAACAAATATCGACAAATAAACAAAATATAAAAATCCGGAATTACAATTCCACCACAGTATTTGATTTATGACATATGTGATAGTTAAAATACAAAGAACTACGAACGATAGTATTTTTCTCCCGCCAACCCCTAAGTCCTTTTTCAAAAGTTAACATTTTCGATGAATTTTTAATATTTTTATAGATAATTATATGGATTTTATCAAACATTACTTATTTGGGAAAAACAAAGAGAGATAATATAAAATTTTGATAAAACTTGTGATTTTCACTATAGAAATCAACGGAATATGAAAATATTTTAAAAACATCTTAATTTCCTCCCCGTGTCACAAAAATTCCTTTTTTACAGGTAATGTAGGTTATTATTTCAAACATTCATACAAAAGCGTTTGAGAGACACGGAGGGGGGGACATGTTTATTGACCAAAAAACGATAAAAATGCTTATATTCCACCATCAAGGCGATTTATAATTGAGACATTGTATTTAATCAAATATTTATGTTTTTCTTATCATTGACTTAAATGGTTCCAAAATCTAGGCATGAATCGAGAGTTAGCGTGCGTATTCTAAAACGACTTATTTTTATCTTAGCGATATTTAAGGTCAATGAAATGCGTGAGCAAACATACAAGGTAGATTTATAGAATTTTGAAAATATGATGTGAATTTTGACAACTGCAGGAAGTACTGACAGTAAGAAAATCATTGGATCTTCTTATCAGAACGAAATGTATAAATAAAGAAATGTCTACTTCATTGTTAGAACTCTATTGAACTTATTAGGTAAGATCTTGACTACATGTTAAAAGATCAGTGAAAGTACATATCTTCTTGATATCATCAAAACAAATCACATTTATCAGAGCTGTTCATTTCTGTAAAACCTTGTATGTTAAGAACAGTTACGAATATATCGCAATTTCTTTTTATGATTAGTTATTAGTTAAGACAATGGTTTTGGTAATTTTAAGGTTTTTGAACTCATGGCATCTAAATTTAGCCACCCTAACCTAAAGGTTCTTTTTAAACTATATTTTATTATCCAAAACTGTACTAAACTATAGTTTACTAAAACGCGATTCTATGATTTACAACTACAATATGAAGACGTCACCGTATGCCGATGTTTTACAGTAAGAAGAAATAAAGAGACGTTGAATATTCCATGGATTTAGAAAATTGCTGCAAAAATGTCAACACTACAAATGTTAAGTTACTATACGAACAGTTGTAAGTTGATACAGGGTTGATGCAGGGTAAAAACTCGCAATAAAGTAGCTTTAACATACCGTTGATACTTAGTATGAATAAGAAAAAAACTATATAAATGATCTCTGTTTATAAAATATAAAAATTATACATTTAACTACCTAATTTGAGAAGAAGCGCCAATATCTGACCTTAACTCACTTGCGGATCGGAAAACATTGGAAAAAAATGGTTGACGTTAGCTGGACCACGTTTGGCAAACTTTGTAACAATGTTACCATGTAAACATTCTTGACCATGGTATTCATATGATTGCCCAACATTGACTCAACTAAACCAACTTCTATTCACTTTATTTTCGAAGAAAGTAGTGACTTTGATGTTGGCCCAGCGCTAGTCCAATGTTTGCAATGCAACCTTAATGAATACTGTTAACCAACTTTTATTCGCGATGACTTTATTTCGCGATTTACCAGGGAGAAACTAGTTCGCGACGATTAATTTTCGCGATCAAGCCTTTTGCATCTGTTTTAAATAGAAAAATATACCATAAGGACCGGTTCGCGACGAGAAATATTCGCGAAGACCAGCCTCTCGCGAACTTTGCGAAAATTTCCCCCACGCGAAAAAAAGTTGGTTTAAAGTATACATATTCAAGTAGGTAGCACTATGTTTGCCCAGTGTTGATGTGATGATTGCATGACTATTAATTTGTATGAGTGTTTAAAGATCGGATATTTATAGAGTCTGATTAAATTGATACAGTACCGACCGGATACAACTTAACACCAGAGCGAACCTGAAGCAGACTGTGGGTTTGCTTCGCGGGTTCGCTCGGGGTCCACTTCAGGTTCGCTATCAGATATTTTGGGACCGCTTGTTGTGCATCTTGGGTGTGTTCTTGGTTAGCTTGGGGTCAGTTCAGGATCCGTTATAGCGAACCCGGAGATTGCTTTCTTGGATCGCTTTACACTTAATAAATAACGAAACATCTTAACAAAATACCTTTCAATTTCATGCAATATATATATAAATTAAAATAAAATAAATTATTCTTTACGTTTTGCTAGCATGTATTTTACCTGTTTGACAAACGCTTGAATAAAGCTATCTAACCTATAGATTTACCTATTGTACATCTTTTATATTTAGATTTCAATTAGTAGTTCAAATTGCAATTTCGTTATAGATATTATCTGGATATTTTCTATATAAAATTGATTATACCAGATATTAATTACGCTTAGAATTATGGAGCGAGTATGAATTTAATCAGAATGAAAAATATAGAATGACAAATAATTGTTCTCTTAATAAGAAAACATTAGTAACCCCCCCCCCCCCCCCATCGCCACTTAACACTCACACACACACCCTCTAACCCTCTTTCACATACACACACACACACACATATTAATGAAATTTTAAATATTTTACAAAAATGTTTTCGATATCTCAATATAATTAATACAGGAAAAAAAAGGAAAAAATATCAAAAAGATCATAACTTTAAACTTTAATCATTAGAGTAGATTTTAATAATAAAGCCTGGTGGGTTTTTTGGTTAAATTTCTATGAGTCGTCCTCCCCATCCAGTACTTAAATTTTTATCTAAGGGCCTGATGCAACTTTTTTTTTCCAAATGATATTCAGGACGATATACATTGAATTTGTTCATGCCCCAATTAATTCAGAAGATTAATAATTTTGATGTGAATTTTGAATGATGTTAAGAAATTGAGATAATGGAAATAAAATGAATTAATGAGGACACGCATATATAATTATACTGCAACAAGATATTTTTTCACTGTACATTTACACGATTTGCTTGTTTGTACATTGTTTGGATTTATTTTGAATAATATCAAAAGATATTTGATCGCTTATCCCATTCGACAGATCAATATGCCATTTTAATTGGCTGGCGCATTGAATTGTTAATCGCTAATCCTGACTGACAGCTCTGTAAAGCGATACTGAACGCGTGTTTGCTTCCTTGGACCGCTACTGAATTCGAGGTTTGCTGTCTGGGACCGCTTCGCGTTACCTCTGAGTACTCTACGGGTGCGCGTTCGGTCCCCTCCGGGTTGGCTAGGGATCAGTCTTAGCGGACCCCGAGCGAGCCCGAAGCGGACCAAGAGAGCGAACCCCGGGTGCTCTGGTTCGCTTTCTGTTAGGTTGTGTTCGGTCGGTACTGTATATATACATTTATAAAATAATTTTCCATTCAATCAATTTTTATTGTTTTCAATGAACATATATGAAGTTTTTTGTGAATGCAGATTAAAGTGTGAATCATTTTAAAATCATAAATAGGAAAGGTTTCAGTCATTTAAAAACGTATTTTCAAGAATTAATAATGCAACTGTTTTAAACATGGATGTAAGTTTTTTGCAGATATATGTGCTATGGTCAATACTATGACCTTGTCAGCAAATAACAATTTATCATACATGTAGAGTCAAATGCTCACTGACGTGTCTCATACTAATTTTAGTCCGTTATTTATTTACTGAATTGACGACGGATTTTCCGTTATTTCCAGATCATGACAAAGAGCACGGTAAAGGGTATGGAGGTCGGCAGGGGATGTTTAAGGGGTCCGTTTTTACAATGCTGCTATATTTTATTGTTTTATGGGCCTATGAATTTGAATACTGTTCATTATCTCCATATTTTTCATCCAATTACTGGCCAACAGAAAGAAGCTTTTGGATAATAAACTGATATTATCGGACTAATCATTAAACAAAGGTTCAACTTTGAGCAACCGTAACTAACCAATTGCAAATATAATTTCTTTGTTTACTGTTACATGTAGTTGGCTCACAATAAGAAATTACGTTGGCACAATAATGAGCCATCAGACATTTTAACAAAGGGCCAACATTTATTCATGATTAGAATATTTAAAATGAAATTGTTATGTATATTCCCATAAATAATTATGAAGTATTTTGTTTCCAGAACTACATAGGATGATTCTGTTTATAATAATTTGTGCCTTTGCTTCTACGAATGCACATACCTCAGTAAGTTTTTTTTAAATGTGACATTGATCCCAAAAAGTTATCGATCCTTATATAGTTTATTTTACTGCATGTATTTTTTTGTTATCTTATTTAGTCTTTCTACATACCTATTCGAGAAAAAAGTGCAATTTTTAACCAGGAAATATCAACGAATCTTATTGAGGACGTTGTAGAATTCCATACTCCAGCCCACAACAATGTTTTAGAAACGTTTAAAATTCAGGATTTTAAAAACGTTAGTATATATTTAAGTTGGTCCATTATTGCATGTACACATTCATAAACTTTTAATTAAGATATATATGTAATTGCTTGTGTTGACCATCTTCATGCCAGATAAACAATTTAGTTGCCGGAAATATTTCTTTTGAAAATGAAAACATATCATCTTAGTGAAGTAATATCACGTTTGTTCATGGCTTGTCATTTTTTTTTTCATTTTTCACATGTACAATACAAGGTACTATATGTCAGTATTATTGATTTTTTAAGACTTGATAACAAAGAGAATGATCTGAATGAAAATGTACAATACAAGGTACTATATGTCAGTATTATTGATTTTTTAAGACTTGATTACAAAGAGAATGATCTGAATGAAAAGATGCTCCAATGAAACACATGGAGATAACGTACTGTATAGACGACTTTCACATTTACAAAAGTTATTCCCCTTTGCGGGGTCAATCCGGGGTCAACCGGCGTAAGACGACGTTTTCCCTATATAACCTCACCAATTTTATGGGTCAGTATCCTAGAAACAAAATCTATTTCAATATGCTCATTATGTTTTTCATGTTGCCCCATACTCTGGCAATACAGGTACAGATTGAATTTGTCCTAAAACATTTGACATTTAAAAATATTAACAGGTAACTTACAAAGGACAAAGTGGGAAAAATGAGTTTTACGCCGACAACGGGAGATAACTCTTAGGAATGTGAAATTCGTCTATTCAAAATCAAAAGTAAAAAAAACAAAAAAAATTAGTAGCAGAGCAAACACAGACCTCTAAAACATCAGAGGTGGGATCAGGTGTTATAGAACAGTTAAAGATAAAAATGGATTTTCTATATCAATAATGGATAGTCTGTCATATTTCAGATACCATATTTTTTTTTTATTCCAGCAATCTGCAAAATATATCCCATCATAAAATTGATAAGTTTTGCTATATATCAACTATCAAATACCTTTTTCCCATTGATAAAAAATGTAATCCAACATATGTTAGGCCTGTTATTTTCTTTTCTTTACAGAATGTACAGGCATTCTGTATGCCACAAAAGAAAGAATGCTTCGTTTCTGAATTAAACCGGACACATTATCCAAATGCTGGTCAAATGATGGAAAGTTTTGCTCATGTTTGGGTAATATATTTTTATTGCAACTTGTGAACTTTTTTCATAAGTTTTGTTTTTATACTCGAACTAAGTATGTGTACTTTCCTCGTTTTCAATGGCAATGATGAACTTATATACTTACATAAGCATGATGCTACTTTCGATAGAATTCATCTGATTATAAAACGGCATCGGAATAAAGATTAAAAGCATAAAATCAGAAATTTAGATTTTCAGGTGCATGTAGTAAATCATTTCTTATAAGGGTATTCTTTGTATTATTAGTTATAGGGTAAACAGCATTTGAAAAAAAAAGAGCGTGTTCATTTTTTTTTCATTCTTATGACAATGTTGCAAATACAAATTTTGATAGGGTGTATTTTGTTTTTAGCCATTTGTAAGGGCTTTCCTTTTTTTATTTTGACACAGTCTATCAAAAAACATGAAGTACGCTGTCTGCATGATTACTTCCCATAGGGACATGATCAAAACTCTGGAGTTTCCACTGTTATGTTGTTAACCTGTCAAGAATCTGTCTTCTTATGTATTTGTGATATTTATCACGTTTTGTTAAACCCTCAACTTTCAATTGCATCTGTATCTCAAAAGATAATAGCATGGATACAGAGATTAATCAATTATGTTTTTTTGAAATGTCATCTATTTCTGATACTTTGATTAAGCAAAATAATCCAAAGACTTTGGTTTTTTTTTTTTAGAATACTGATGTGATAGGCATGGATTCCGAGCACACCCATACCCTTCACCAACGGTGGTATAAATCTGCTGCTGTACAATCTCTCTCTGAGTTCAGTACTAGAATGAGACAGTTTTTACATTCTTACGGATATCCCATATTTCAATTAAAAAAGATAGAAGATGACGCTTTGATTTTAGAAGGTAATTCTTTTACAAATTATATTTGATGATATATAATGACTTTCAACGAGACTGCTGATATTCATTTAGCAATTTTTTGTCAAAAAATGTTCATACCTAAAGCATGTTCTTGCGTACCGAATCAACTGAGAGCTATAATCAGGTTATAAAAGTATATTGCTGCATAAGTAAGAAATATAGACATATGAAAACTTAAAGTCACGCCGTTTGTCATGTCAAATACTTTGGGTGTTACATTACCTCAGTGTCTTTTTCAGGTTAAATATCTTAATATGAAACTGATTTTTTAGACTTTTTGGCTAGATTTGTTCCACGTTCAGCGGAAAACATGTATATGGTATCGTTTAAAGTCATCCTTTTGTACGTTTTCTGGTCATTACAATGCCTTATCGGCAAATGCAATATCATTTGCTTAATGATGACTGGCGTTTTTCATACTCATTTTTAGTGCATTATTTATACTTTGAATTGACCACAAATTTTGACGTTATTTTCCGATCATTAAAAGTGTGCTCACTCCTCCATGACACATAATCCTACCTCTGATGTTTCGGGGGTCCGTGTTTGCTTTGCTCTTATTTAGCATTGTCTCATGGACTTTGATATTTAATAATGTTCGTTATCTTCATTTCTTTCATCGATATCAAAAATGAAATAATCATCACTGAATATTCACATTTGTTGTGTTTTTCTACTGCACAAACTGCGAAGCTGATTTAAATGCCATTTTTGCGTATACTCACGCATAGAACATACATGGAGTGATTTGCATAAGGGTGACGTAACGCCGTGGCTAATTAGACCGTGACAAAATTTGTAACAATATTGCAGAGAAGAAAGTCAAACATCAAGTATATGTTAATGCTAGTAAATGTAAACTGAATAAAAACAAAAAAGGATTGTTTTTAAGTTTGAAGAAAATCACAAAGACGTACGTGGCGGCATATTTTTCAAGAAGCGCCAACACATGTTACGAGTAAAGTCAAGTTCTTTTTTACGGTTCTTATATTTTAATCAAATTATCAAATTGGCAATGAGCTACAAACAAACAAAAATATATACACACATTACCAATAGAATACACAAACAAAAATAAAGTAATTAATCAGCATATCACCAAAATATGGCGATGCCACACCCGGTCACTCAAACATGAAATGTTTTACACTGTGTGTGTGGTCTCTACATTGAAACAAACAATATACCGGTATTTATCATATAAACAATAAAAAGATATAATATTCATAGTAATTCAAGTTAAATTAAACACTAGATTAACACAATTCTTACCGTAATACGCATCACTCTCAAACTCGAACACGTTCCATTCAGCACACTGAGTATAAATAAATTACTTTAAGAACCAGTTTAAATCTTGGAGGTTTACTCAACAAAATAATAATTTTATAACTTCAAATCATCGCACTGAAAATTAATAAAAAAAAGGTAGAAAACAACCAGATTAATATTCAAAAAGAATCTTTATAAAGTTTTCAATAATTTAATCTCTAAATAAAATTAAATACCTTGCGCAAGGACAGAAACTCTATAAATAGATTATCGGTTAAAAAGTATGGTGCGCATTTTGCGTTCTTTTAATATGCGCAAAATCAACCGTTACAGCATTTCACGAAATACATGTAACTAGCGCGCTTCATGAAATGTGCCTACTGGATAAATCTGTGTGATTTACGCATCAATAACTCTCACAAACTTGACAGTTTCCTTACTTGACAATACGTTATCGATATTTCTAAACGTCAAATAGAAGCCAATATCAGGTGGGTTTTTTCACGCATGAGATTTTGTACGGACAAGTGCACTTAAGCAATACTTAAGGGGCCCTTTTTTGTGTGCTATTTTACTTCAGAATATATAACCAAATCCTTCTCTATTGGTAACAGCTAGATACCAGTGGATATTTCTAATCAAAAAGCATGTTAAGTGCCACTTAAATCAGCATTGATTTGAAACAAGTGGATATTTGGAAAAGCCTATGGATATCCTATAAACTCGAAAAAGTCGTACCGAACCTTCTTTTAATTTCGTTTATGTAAATCAAAGGAATTGATATTTAAATCGATACTTGAACAATCCACAATGGTGGATCATAGTCGGGCGCGTTTGCGGAATGATATAATTTCTTGCGCCAAACCTGTTTTTAAAAATATGGAATGAAGTTGTGTAGTTGCCTGTACCTAAAATGATTAAACTAAGAGATTGGTACTCTTGCATTTGAAAAATTACAATAATAGTTTCATTGAGTTTGAAATTAAAAAGGAGTGTTATAGGTGGCTTTCAATATGTTTCATTGTCTTGCATGAAGGTTAAAATTGTTTGACACTTTATGAACGACACTTAGATCTCCTTACCCTCCCGTGTTCTTAAAAACAAATACATACAAACATCTCTAAGCGGTACGACTTTGACTTACTGAAACAAAACCTGCTTATGTTTTACAGTGAACACTTATGAGGAATGTTTACCTGGGTAAAACTCACGTGACTATCAGTATTTTAAATAATTTATTCCACAAGTGGGTTCAACATAGGTCATACAGGTAAATAGCTCTCACTTGCTATAGGGAAAACATTGTACTTTTTATGTATTTTTAATATTTTAAGTACAAGCCTAATCATGTGCAAATTTCATACTTTCACACAAGTTTTATGAATGTGAAATGCGTCTTTTATCATTCGCACACGTTTGCACAACGTTAGGCTCATAGTTTACAAAGGCTTTGAAATGAATGACCGTTCTCGATTTACTATAGAAAATTGCTAATGTCGGCTGACCCATACCACATTGTACAGCTTTTTCGTGGTGTATTCGTGGATTTCAGCGGTAGAATTTGTTGAATCGTATGGTTTAGATATCAATTAATGATTTTAGATGAAAAATTGTGCTTAATTTGATTGTTTATTTTTTCCCATTTTATCGGGGCCCATAAGTGCACTCGTTCTTTGCTTCATATCAGTTGGAGAACCTTATTTTTAAGAACTGCATTCATATTGTCTATTAGAGACTCAAGCTTGTTTTAATTTAAAATTCGGAGTTCAGAATGCTTTGATATTATATTTTTCAAATGCCTAATTAAAATGTTAGGAAATTTAAGGTTTCCATTTTTTTGGATAAAGCCTTTGTCAGTAATAATAATAATGATAATAATAATAATTTTTTGAAAGGTAACCCGATTAGTGAACGCATTTTTTTCGCCAGGGCCTTATACAGACAAAAATCAATATACATACATATACAAGCATACACAATCAATAAATAATCATAAGTTATTTCGACATTGTTTTAAAAATATTTTGACTTGATGCTTGAAAACATTCTGTGTTTGAGACATTTTTATATGTGCAAGTAAAGATTCTTATTCCATAAGATAGCACAAGAGTATTGAAAGGAGTTCTCAAAGAGTTTACAGTTACGAGTTGGTACATACAAGTCTAAATTAGATTCAGATCGAAGATCGTGTCGATTATTACACTGGACGTCAAACATACTATTTACATAAGTAGGGTAGAGTTGAACAATGATTTATATAACAAAACATATTTATTTACAATAAGTTGGTCATACTCTGTGAGCCAATGTTGTTTTTCAAAGAAAACTTGTGAGGGCGCTTCAGGAAGAGCATCTAAATTACATCTTGCAGCTATTCTTTGACGCTTATATACTCTGTCAAGATTTGAGTGAGATGTATTACCCCAAACAGATAAACAACAAGAAACAATAATGTAACTATCAATTGTCGCCCGTTAAATATATAAAGTACACAATGAAATGTTTTAATTTTCAATTTTGAATATCAAAACGAACTGTACAGAGTACGTTTTTATGCGAGAAGTAAAGTTCGATGCTCTAAAAAAAAAAGGGAGCTGTCATTTTACCGATAGTAAATGATAAGCAGCTTTATAAATTGAATATGAAAACATATATATTTTTACAGATTCACTTAATGGACGTAAATATATGATGTATCTCGTAATTTATAAACGGAAAGAACTTCTGATTAACAACACGGGTTAGTTAAGGCAGCACACAGATCAAAATTCGGCGAATTTAGACTTTTTTTTATAATATGTAACACTAATAAATCGGAAAAGTCATGGAAAAAAATTTTGCTATCATTATGCATACTATAGACTGCAATGGGACTTATACTAAAGGAAACACTTCATCACGACGTCACCACGTGACATCTATAATTAGAAAAAATGCCTTAATAAAAAAAAAAGAAAAGTTCAACACTACCCCGAGGATAATTAATTTCAATTTGTAATAATAGTTATGTAAAAACATCTCTGTGCCGTGAAAAGTGCTGCTAGAATTCTACTGTCCTATCACAGTATACACCTATTTACTGGCTATGAGGACAATAGCAAGTTTATCGTCCCCCAAGACAGCAAACTATTTCCCGAGGCGCAGCCGAGGGAAATAGTTTGCTGTCGAGGGGGACGGTAAACTTGCTATTGTCCGAATAGTCAGTAAATAGGTGTTTTATTATACCAATGCTGACTTAACTTTTGGGAGTCCAGGGTACACACAATTATGATATTCCATATTATACCGGTTCTGACTTAACTTTTGTTACGTCATAATATATACGCGTCACAATCCATGTAAAATCAGAAGTTTTTCAGAGATGAAAAGCGAGGGAAATCGAATGCTGCCGTTGAATAGTTTGAGGACTATTCACCATGGGCAAATAGCACAAAAACTATTTCACGGTAGAGACTGTTTAGAAAAAATAGTATGTTTATTCGTCTTATTTTTATATAGAAAAAATAAACAGAGGTATAATAAAAATAATTATTCAACACTTTCGGACGAAACCTTCCCAAAATATTTACACTTTGATCATAAGATCGAAAAAAAATTGCATCAAATCCCGTAAACCATACGATTCTAGCAGCACTTTCCAAAATCAATAGACTAAGTACTTTAGATAGTAACAAAAATTAAGTTTCAAAGTGTGCAGCATAGTGTTGGACTTTTGCATCTTTTTTGTTACAAACGACAGAGGAAAGGCTGATCAGCAAGTAAACACCCTGTCTGCTGTTATTTAACGAATAAATAATGGAAATATATGAGCATACCTTATTCATAAGCTTTATTTCCACGTGAATCACGCAAGATATTCATTCTAAATGCTTTTAAACTCCGATTTCTCGTGTTTGTTTCCATGAATTCTCGTTACGTTTCTCTTTCACTCTGCTACTGCATAATCAACAGTTATGACGTCACGGGTTTGGTATTTAACCCTGTGATAAATACAGAGACCCAGAAACGACGAAATTCCATTTATATTTTGTCTCTGCATATTTTGATTCATTTTCACGACCTCAAATCAATGTTAGATATTGATTTAAGAAATTGTTATCTCTAAACTTCACGTCATATAGCTTACTATGTTGTCATATTATATAGGCATGTAGAATGTTTGAGTGTAACCTTAACATACATGCGAATCTGTTCAATGTTTGAAAACCTTTAATTCTAAATAACTACTCCAAACTCAATTTCCATACACCAACACTTAAACCTATTTATACGGTAGCCCGGTCCTCCGGGCTGCAATAATCAATTGAAGGCATAAAATATGCATTGTAAAACAGCTTGCGTGTTTAAATAGGGGGAAACTTTTACTTCTAGGGAGGGCAGAAATTTAACATGACAGTGTTTTACAATCATGGTCAATATGTACATCGTATTGTTAAAATTTATCTTAATAAACTCCAAGAATGTTTTTCATTTGATACATTATAAAGTTTTTTGTTTGATACATATAGATTAATTTCATGTTCAGAAAAATGTGATCTCATTTGAAGTGTACCAAATAACATGCATTTGATTTTTGTAGCATTTAGGGCCATTTTATTTTGAGAACATCAATTTTCTATAAAAGCTATATCTGTTGATAATGCATCTGCAATAGTTTAATAATCTTTACTTAATGCATGTAAGGTGGCATCATCTGGAAATAGTTCTCATTTGGATTTTTTAATGCATAAAGGAAGATCATTTATGTAAAATAAACACAAAAGAGGACCTAGTATAGATCCCTATTGGACTGTCACTGTGACTTGCTGATAAGATAATTGTTTGTTGGACAGATGGACACTTTGAAGTCTCTCACTTAAGTATGATCTGAACCATTGTAAAGTTATTGCATGAAAGTTATAACATTGAAGTTTTGTAAGTAGAATAACATGATTGACAAGGCTTTCTGAATTCAAGAAAAACAGTACTAACAAGTTCACCTTGGTCCATTTCATTAAACCATTCATCGGTAATTTTTGTAAGGGCTATTTTGCAAGAATGTAGTTCTCTGATTGAGAGTCTTCTATAAGAACAAAATATACCACAAATCCTTGATTTAAGTTGATCTTGTTTTTTTTGTATATTTTAAAATTTAAATTTCTAAAACGTTTACGCTGCTGATTTTGGTAAAATTTTGTTTTTGTTTTGAACATATTTTATTGAATGAGTCAAATGGATTGGAAACAAGTTCTTGCAACTTACTAGTTCCTCTCCATAAATATAACAATATGTCATGCAAATAATACATTAAAATATGATAATTAAATATTTTCAAGTGCTGCAATTAAATTACAAATCAATTTAAATCTTCATGTTTCAGTAAAAAATCTATGGACAGCAGCAAAAATATTAATATTAATTGATACAGGCAAATCTCTATCACCCCATAATAGAAGGCTAGTGTCAATTGTAACCAATTCTTCAAGCATGAACAGGTGGTTAAAAAGATTGTTTCTAGCATTTGCATACTTTGTACAAGCAAAAATAAAATTTGTACTTTCGTCACAGAAAGTTCACTAGACTTCCTTAGTGTTCACATCTGATCGAATATATTGTTGCACAGTACTCCTGATGTTTATTCTTTACTACTATTAATATTTGAGTGATGAGTAAAGAAGTATGATTGGTAGAACATTTTCTTTCTTGAACCCTTTATGCAATTTTGTTTGTAATCATTTGTTTCACAAGTTCTTTGAATAATTTCTTCTTTGGAATGGTTGCAATGAGTATCATTACTAAAATCAAATCCCAGTTCGACTTATGGAGTAAAAAGCATGTCTCTGCGTATATAATCTACAAATTAATTTTCATTGACTGCAACTCTCTCCGATTAATGAACAGATCCTAAAGTACATTTCCAGACGAAAGAAGATTGCACATCCTCGGCTACCTCTTTTAGTGCTCTATATACATTTATTTTGTTCGTTACTTTGTTGAATCAGTTTTTGTTATATTCACTTTTTCATTTGAAGTTTTCAGAGACACGTGTTTTCCCTGATCCAAATTTGTACTTTTCCATATAGAATTGATGTTAATGTATCTTTACATTCTTGTAGATATTTAATTGTGTTCTTATACAGATGACACTGATATAGTGAGTCGTCCAGAGAGGACTTTAATACCGAATAATAAACAGTGTGATCCAGGTGTGACTCCCGTGAGGCGTTACGGATACACCCTAACTAATGGATGCGATTGGCTTTACTTTTGTGATACGTAAGTATTGGCTTACTTTACCTGTCAAAAAATATGCATTAACAAGCAGAATAAATAATAAAAAAAATATTTCAGAATTCATATCGCATATATTAGTTGTTTGTTAGTTGGATTATAACATACAATATAATGTTGACATATGACATATTTAAGTCAAAATACCAGATTATTATGTTGACATACAAATCATCAATATTTTTGAAAAATATAATTGTAATATGAGGTAAAGACGTGGTGGACTTTACTGGCTAGAAGAAAATCCGTAAGTTTAAGTTTCCCACAATATTTATATTTTATCCATCATACTGTAACAGACTAGTGATGGTGTTATATGATAGACAACAAGGCTGTTGGTTCAAGTTGACAAGACGTATCTTTTATTACGATGGATCAATAAGATAGTAGTCATCAAAACCCTATGATGAAATAACAAATTATAAATGTTTAGCATAAAAACTATAAAGCTATTACTCAATATAAATATGCAATCAATATATAATAAAGCTTTATCAAAATCCAAGGGAGATAATTCAATTATATGAAAATTACACAATAAAATCTCCCATTGGTTTCATCAATGAATATTCATAATAAAAACTTTACAATATATCATTCCAATGTGTAAATACATAATGAATTATTGTTCGGCATAAAAACAATTAACAGGCATACCATTCAACGGGAATGGGTCATACGCTGTACAACAGCATACAAGCTGCATACACAAGACAGCAAAAGGATAATTACTCAATATCTACAAATCAACAATAAACAACTTTGTAGATATCTACACTAATCATAAAATAAAGTTTACTTTAAAAATATGAAAAAGTGAGACAGCAATGTATTACTATTTAGACATAACTCTATATATCTCAAGTCTCACTCTCACTAAACATTTACTCCAGAAAAAGTGATTTAAGGAATTAAGTGCAAAAAAGTACAGATTTCACATTTAATAGAATTAGAATCTTATTACTTATTAGTATTAAAGAATTACTTACCATGCAAGAGGAAATGTATGTCTCAATGTCAAATGTCTGATACGAAAACTGACCAAACTACACTTCCATCACCTTCCAAAATCAAGCAAGAAATTAACCAAAAACAAAAAGAAAACTTAGAGGGAAAAACAAAAACCGATAGAAAAGCATAATACGACACTAAAAATCAATGAAACTAAAAGATACAAAATGACCATGGCCAGAATATAGTTACCACCCTGAGGCTAACCCTGGACCTCTCTGGAATAGAATAATTTAAAAGATCAATACACTTAGCTATAGGTTAAATGAATAAATATGTAATGCAGCTGTAGAAGTGTGCTGCAAAAAAACCCATACATAATTGAATTAATGAATAAATGCACATGCAATATGAATTGCTTTGCACATGTGCATTATATATAAAACATGAGTTAATACAAACCCCCGATATGTAAACCGTGTATTCATGGTTCAGATGCGAGTTTAAAACGCTCTTTTCTTGGTCAACTTAATAAATATCGAAGGCATAATGCTTTGTTACAACGCGAAATGTAAAAACAACGCGAAATGTAATAAACCTGGATTATTACAATTTGCGTTATTACATTTTGCGTCGAAATCAACGCAGAATGTAATAACGCAAAATGTAACAACACGCTTTTGAGGATTAATACATTTCGCGTTATTACATTTTGCGTCGATATCAACGCAAAATGTTATAATACGATTTTTAGTTAATTACATTTTGCGTTGTTAAATTTTGCGTAGAGATTAAGCAAAAGGCAAGAAAGCAAAATGTAGTAACATACTTTTTTCTCAGTCAGATTTAGTACAATTTTCAATAGAGAATTGGCTAATGAAAAGAAAATAAAACAAAAGGAAAAAGAGATATATGCAATTTCTTACAATCAATGAATTTTATCTTATATTGATTTAATTAACTTGTTGGAAGGTGAGGAAGGGGTTATTGACCAGTGTGCTATTGCTTTGTTATAGCCAAATGCAAGGAATCTTTTTTTAAAAAAAAAAAACCTTTTCATTTGTACTGGCAGATGTAAATATGTAGCGGGAAGGGGTTTATTGACAATAATATTACGATCCTGTTTCATGCAAATCAACAGCGTTGCAGACAAGCAAATCAAAATTCTCTCTCTTTCTCTCTCTCTCTCTCTCTCTCTCTCTCTCTCTCTCTCTCTCTCTCTCTCTCCCTCTTGCCATCTAATAATGGATTGTTTCTGCATGCCCATAGTAATAGAATAATAAACACACGAAGTAAACACTCCACCCTATCCCTGCCCCTCCTCGCATGACACACACATATACTTTTTACTTGTTAACCAATGTACACATGCCAAGCATTTATATCAACTTCTTTTAATGGACCTATGATCAATCTTTGGTAATAAAATATGTATTCACGGTTATAAATTTAGACGATACAGATTATTCCAATTAAAATTAAATTAATGCTTTATATTTAAGTACAGTGTATTCAATATAACGAAAGTCAGACTCAGAAAAAAGATACATTTCGAGGTACATGTATTTATGTCCGTAAAAGCCCTAACATTGGTCTCATTGTTTTACTTCTAAATATTTTGTAAAACGTGTTTTCCATGTTGGTTACATGTGTATATATACTTGAATCGATTTTTTGATCTATTTTGTTAAGCGCAATAAATTATGCACACACACACACACACACACCTTAACCCTCATCCTCACACACACTCACACATAGCGTCATACACCCCCCCCACCTAAAGCAACACAAATAGTGCAGATTTTTGTAGGAAAATATAAGAATTTATCAAATTACCATTGTAATATCTTTCACTTAAAACAATTTATGAACCTTTCTGTGCTATCGTACAATGTACTTCTAAATGAAAATCCCTTTCATCTTTACTGAAATTTATTCCATTTATTGACTGTCAAATTTTAAAAAAAAAAAATAGTATCATGTCTTTGATAATAAATGTTATTGGAGATCCAAAAAATTGTTTAAAACATAACACTTGTTATGGGGGGGACATGTACAATTTTGTGCATTTTCAATATGTTTTAAAACATTTACAATTAAGGGCACATAAATAAGTTTCCCCCTTTTCATTCTATTGTTAGGCAGTTGTTGAAATATAATCTTTTTTATCTTATGTCTGATCAAAAAGTTCCTATAAATTTGTGATCAGTAAATAGGTCAAATAATCTCAGGAAAGATAAAAAAACATTAAATTTATAATGAAGAACTAATAGAAAAAGCTAGGTTTAAAACTATGTTGGCAACAATTTTGAGAAAGGTTTGTGCTTTTTAATGAATTACACTACTACTGCATAAGTATATCTTCAGATAAAATCTATGGTATTGAAGTTCTTTACTTTTTATAATAATAATACATTGTCATCTATCTTGTAGCACAACAAACGTTCTAGAGGGCAATCACTTGGGAACGCAGATCAATGGTTGTACTAATACTCACGTTCGCGATCAGGTCTTCTACTCATGTTTGTGCTGTCCAAACGCACACAGAGTCAGTGATTGTTTGGTCTGTAATGCTGTCCATTAGAAACGCTCATCTTTTGTAAATCTTAATACAAACATAGAATTGTTACATTGATTTCAATGATTTCTGCATTTATTTGTAAAGGAACGAGTGAGGATTCGTTTACTTATTGAATGACACGGCTCTCAAAAGAAAAATAATAAGATCTGTTGACAGAATGGTTGGTGCTGATCCGATTTCTTCTTCAGAATATTATATATTTATCATATATACTGCAAGAAGTTACATTTGCATTGAGCACCCACACCTTCACACCCTTATTGTCTACTCTCTCACACACATACAAACATTTGTATTTAGATTTCGATCTGAAGACTATATCATAAAATCTTAATGGAGATTAAGCGATTGCATGGCGATATTGGCATTGTTCTAGTCATCTTAATCCGTGAATGTCCTTTTAAATAGACTGAGTCTTTGGACTTAGGTGATATATCCATCAAATTAGAAAAAGGTAAACACAGAGGACGTCTGCGTGGTAAAGGGCCTCTCGTAAGCAAATAGAATTACACAGGTGAGTTAAGGCTAAATGTGGATATTTCTATGCAAATAAGCTTATAAAAATTCATAAGTTGTTATATTTTATGTACAGGGAAAGTTCAAATTGATTTTCTGATACATGTATACTTAGTACCCACAGTTTATTAATGAAAGTGCACATTATGACGTATTATCACTGCGTGAAAATTTGGCTTTACAAAACAAGTAAAGATAATGTAAATTTATTATTTACAATGCCTTTAATTGGCTTTTCTGAAAAAAGTCAAAGTTGAAAAAGGTAACCTTTACATTAACTTTACATGCACTTAAATATGATGTAATGTCCCACATTGTCTTGACTTTACAAAAAAGTAAAGTTAATATTTACAACCATTAAACACAGTATTTAGGATATATTAAATCTGATAATTACAGACCTTAAATTTAATTAAATACCATCTTTAATAACCACAATCTGATAATTACAAACCTTAAATTTAATTAAATACCATCTTTAATAACCATAAAAGTTAATAATTTCCGTTTTCCATTCCAGTGAATGAAGCCTTATTCAAATTATGAATAAGTTTTCCTTCCAAATTGATAAGTTGCGGAAATGTAAACATCATAATTAATATACATATTAAGAAAAAGCTGACTTTAACTTAGTTTATTACAATACAAAACATTATTTTTTACAAACATAAAATCAAAATCATCAAGATTCTTGGCAGTATATGTTGCCCACATCCTATCCTGCAAATTACATACATATCAAAGACAAAGTACATTTTACAAATATGTTTTTTTTTGGTATGTGACATGTTTTATAATAAAACCAACTGTTCATTCTTGAATTTAAAGTTGTGAATCAACATAAAACTATTTTATGTCCTCTTTCTTGTTGATATTGGTTTTAGTGGAAATCAACAACTGTCAAAATGTTTTTGTCACACCTCCCTTTTCAGACTTCAAAACTTTTCTCCCAATGCAAGCATTTTCCTAATGCTTTTCCTAAAAGAAAAAAAAAGTATTTTTTTCAGTGCCATGCATAAGTATGAATATTTTCAATGGCTTCGTGTTATCAGAATTCACAATACCATGATAAATAAAACTAAAAACAAGGCACAACCTTACTAATAAATAAACAGTTCATACATGACCTTTAACCTCAAAAAGCAAAAAAATGTAAATTTGAATTTAATAAGATAAGTGGAACTCTTGTTATTGACATATTATATGAAGAATAAATGGGTTAGGTCATGTATCCCTTATTACAAAAAGCCTATCAATTAAAATTTGAGAAATATGTATTTTTTAAGGGTACTACACAAAAACAAAGAATAAATCCCTGAAATATTGAGAAATCATAGATTTCCTGACTACAATGTTGTCAGTTTACAAAGAGAACAATATTGTGCTACATACCGTATAATTAGAATTTTTAGCGAGGATTTAATTTTGGCATCATTAGCGAGGGTGTTGAGATGGCTAAAATTAAATATTGCTAAAAATTAATTGCGTTTTATTTGTATTAGTTTCTTAAATGTGTATTTTAAAGTCCCTAAAATAGCATCACACTAAAAATAAATTACCAGTTTTAAAGGACATTTCCACTTATACGGTATTTAATTTAACTGTACATGTATACAGAATGATACTGAAGTTATGGTTTAGGATATATGTACCTTTTTCCCCAATGGCATGTTTCAGCTCATGACCTTTTTCCTGATATGGAACAGTAAAAGGACTTTAGGTGAGAGTCCCTCAAATTGAAAATGACAATCATGCTGAAATAGAATTCATACCGTGATTAATATTTTGTACATATGGACAAATATAGTCAATATTTTTTTTTTTAAAAATTATGAGTTTGAAGCAAACTGCTGTACTTAGTCACCAGAGAATTAATTGATTTTGAAAATTAATACACAGTGCAATCACAAATAATAGCTATGAATTGACAAACACCCTTATGTTATTTTTTATCAAGAATAATCTAAATTTAGTTCTAAACAATACTTGCCATTTATAATATGAAAGTTGAGAACCAGCCTCTTCTTCATGACAGATCTTTTAATTTTCTCATGGTAGGCTGAGTAGCTTGAGACTATACAAAGGAAATTGAACATTTTTTTTTCACAAATATATGACGATATTGACTCCCTAACAATTCAAGCACTAAATAATGTAAATGTTTGTTCAAGTTACAGATTTCATGAAATTTATTATTAAAATGTGTTTGTACCAAAGAACATTGGGATCCTCAATCTGGGTAATCATGTTTTGTTGTCTTCCTTGCCCCGTCTTGATGTTTTCTCTTCAATAATCTGCATACTGAATTCACTATACCTGTGTTTTAAGAAAAAGGACACAGTTTAAAATACAAAATGATATAAATAAAAATAAATAAACTCTCAAAGTTGAGAGTTTATGTACATGTATATAAGTTAGTATATATAGGTCCCTGATAGGTGTAGTACTTTTCTTACAACATTATTTTTCTTGCCTGATCAAAATCTTTATTAAAGCAACTTTTAGAGTGTTGTTAACATGGTTAATGTAGATACAAATTTAAAATATTTTACATTTATCATGTTTATCAATCCGGCAGACAAGCCCCTATGATTCATACACCTTAACAGAATAAAGTGACGCACATAAACATTTAATCCCAGAATTATCAAAAGTACTTATCTAATATCCTAGCAGAAAATAACATACAAAGCGTCGTTTTCCGTGACTTTGATTAGTTTCATTCTTTCACAACATGCACAATGTACTCTGAAAGTGAAAGTAAAAACGGCTGGAAATCGTAAACAAACCTTTAGAGCATGTCAACCCGGGAGTTCGAGCAATTGTTCAGGCAAGAATCTTCTTAAATCTAGATGAAGTGTCAAAAAATTACCACTGGTTTCAAACTTCGTCAAAATAACGATGCAGACCCGCTCAACTTGATTTGAAATGATTGGCTATTTCAACCGAATACACAGTGCCATATTTGGGTTACTGTTTAGAGTAGATCGTTCGTTTTACATTCGAGAAGTGTTTACATATTACTTGAATGAAGAGGATAACATAATACTGAGCTAAAAATTTTATGTAAAGTATGTTTTCAGTTTAGTTTACAATACAAGCTGTAAATGTGCTGGAGATTTTATTGATGTTGAAGCTTGTAAACAAAACCAATAAACGTAGGACTTATTCACGGCAATGTATGGGAACCAGAGCTGGGAACCAGTCTAGAAGGCAAAGAAAATTCCGCCAAGTAAACAACAAAGAATTTGGGATGTTGTCAGTTGTATACATTATGTGGGCCGGTGACTGCAAGGTAATACATATGTCTTATTTGTTGCGCATAATCTGTTTCATTTAATTATGGAAAATTATCCGTCCCAACCAGTGGCGTAGCATGGTTTTTTTTTTTTTGAAAGTGGGGGGGGGGGGGGGCAGGCAATAAAGGGGCCTAGGGTGGAGTTAAGGGGGGGGGTTAACTTTTTCTCACTGACAACTACATTTAGTTCCAATTCTTATACTACATTTTTGGTACATTTCTAATAGTGTATGTTAGTTTTGGAAAAAAAGTGGGGGGGCCCCCCCCCCCAGCAACTATGCCCCTGCCAACACTGGCAGAAATATAACTAATCTGACTTCAAAATTCCTTCCTCTGTTCCCCGAAGTACATGTTACACTCTTCGCTCTCATTTTTTAAAAATATTCATTGTATATTTTTTTGCAGAAGCAAGGAATGTGGAGCTAATGCATGCTGCTAAGGATGGAAAGTTCTTGTGTTTATTGGTTGTTCCTGAGACATCAGTCACAGTTTTACCTTATTTCCATTTTAGGTAAATGCCTTTTGATTTTTTTTAAGTAGAGGAACAATGCATTTTTCATTCAATATGAAGCTTCGCTCTCATTTTTTAACAAATTTTCATTGTATATTTTTGTAGAAGCAAGGAATGTGGAGCTAATGCATGCTGCTAAGGATGGAAAGGTCTTGTGTATATTGGTTGTGCCTGAGACACCAGTCACAGTTGTACTTTATTTCCATTTTAGGTAATGTCTTTTGATTTTTTTTTACATTCAATATAAATGTAAAATTCTAGAGAAAACTTTTTTTCAGCATTGTTGGATACTTACTACATGATTTTATGTAAAGAAAGTATTTAAAATATTTCCTCACATTTTTAAAGAGGCCAGGTATGGTGATATGTAGACAATTCATTTTTTATTCAATTTTTTTCCCATGCATTTGTACAAGGAGTCTATATACACTTGAGAGGTGTGGCCGTCAGATTTAATTTTGAAGATTGATGACTTTCAGATGTTGTGATGAAGATTGTTGAAAGAGATTATCGACATAGAACCAATCCATATGAATGTGCAAGTCAGGTGAGGATTGGACTTCAACGTTTAATCAAGAAATGTTTATATATTGCTAAGCTAAGTGAAAACACACCACAAACATTTTAAGTATGTCAGTAGGTTTCATGGATATTACAGATGTATCACTATCATATGTTTGACATTGAGTCGCTTTGTCTAAATTTCCATTATGTTTAGTTATACATGTGTTGTTACTTAAGTATGTCTTCAAAAGCTTGTGCTTTAATTTCAATAGAAGTAATGAAAACCTATTTAAAAATTGTATTTTTTTTTTCTTTATAATTTTGAAAATTATTATTATTAGGACTTGTACAACACCTGAGTACCCAGATGACTGTTGAACTAATTGGTGAACAAGAAAAGATGTCAGAGAGGGGAATCCAAAACAGATGTCATGATCAAGAAAATGTACTGTTATCAATGATATGATCAAAAATTTGTAAACTTGTAGCGATTTAGAATATCTTATCTGTAATATAACTCTTTAATACTTAATTGTTCACACATTATCATCTTATCTGTATATTAATCACCCCCTCTTATATAACCCCCTGGTGATTGTAATGACCTGTGTATTGATTCCTGATCTTAAGGATCTTATACATGTAATGTGCTCCTGATCGTCAGGAGCGGATCTTGAGTATATATATAGTGCGACAGAATTTTAGAATAAGATAGGAAGATGGAAATATAGAAGACTTAGTAGATAGAACTGTTAGAGATAGATAAAGTTACTTACTTACTTGGAATATAACCTATAGTAATATTTCTTGGATTTATATGTACATGTGATTATTTAACTTGTACATGTATTTTATTTTTAGTGAATTATTTTTCCTGAATGTTTCTATTTGTGATGTGCTGTGTAAATAAACTGTAGACTAGAATTTCGGCAAGATATGAGGAACAAGGATAATTGATTTATTCATGCAAACTGACATTATGAAATGTGTTATAAGACTGCCTGATGCAGCGCTACAAACTAACTAGTAAATATCTTGGAGATATATAGATGAACATGCAAGCATTCTTGGTTTTAAATGTTATTCATTCAGAGTTTTTGCACAAATACAATTTTCAGTACAGTAATCTAAACTGGATGTGTGAATTTCAGTACAGTTATGTAAAATGAATATGTTATTTTATTTTGATTGTCAGTTTCTCAACAGGACATAATTTATTTTTTTGCAGAACAAAACACACAGAACTTTTTTTTCTCTTTGTGCATCATACACTTGTAAATGTTTTACACCATCTTGGTTACATATTTTACATTTATGACGTGTAAATCGAGCAAACACATGAAAATACGTGAAGCTGGATACATATGCAAACATGCATCTACCATAACCTATTACATATTTTCCAAGGTGTGTGAAGTCGAGCACATACATGAAAATGTGTGAAGCTGGACACATACACAAATACACATGCATCTGCCACAACCTATTACATATTTTCCAAGGCGTGTGAAGTCGAGCACATACATAAAGATGTGTGAAGCTGGACACATATGCAAACACACAAGCATCTACCACAACCTATTACATATTTTCCAAGGCGTGTGAAGTCGAGCACATACATGAAAATGTGTGAAGCTGGACACATATGCAAATACACTAACATTTACCAAATCTAAACTTAATCAAGCATAGACAGGCTCATGGGGTGAAGCTGGACTCGTACATGATCTCATGCATTTTGCAAACTGCATCCCCGCATCTATTCTAATAGATTTTTCAACATATTTTGTGTTTGTGAATATGTAAAATGCATCAATTTGCATTACAAGTTGAAGATGTTATTAGCCTGTGTATAAATAGCCTTTTACATGTTTTATGTAACTTTTTTCACATTTTTAATTCAATTTAAACTGCAAAGTTTATTTTATATATGTACATGCACCATAAAGAATAAATATTGTACATGTATTAGTATTATATTCTAAAGTGAAATGAGACCTCCATTTCATAAGCAGAAATGTGAAATTTATACTTGTCATCTGTATTTCTTTTTTTATTTTTTCTCACATGTATCTGAATGTTAAAAGGAAAACAAAAGTCAAAGATAGCTCAATATAATGTTTATATTCAAGGTTATAACTGGATATTGTTTGTGCTGTATATCTGACTCATCATATGAGAAGCAAAAATACAGAATATTTTAGATCATTTTTGATTGGAAAATGAAAAATATCAGTATGCCAATTTTTCCCATTGTTATATTTTTAATTACTTTATCATTAATATCAATGTACATATTAAAGATCTATGTCATCCAATTCAGAGAGTTGTAGGCAATCCTGGTGCAGATAATATTTTTTCCCTGTGTTTCGCAGTATAGCGGGAATACTTTGTATGCGAGGAATGTATATTAAGGTTTTGGTTGTATATGTGGGCATGGCCAAAGAAAAGCCAATGAGAAATGAGTATTCAGTAATATGTTCATATCATTCTAAGCCAATGCTCTTCAATACACACACAATTTTTTTGCTTTATATATATCATATTTGTATAAATATACTGGAAATGGAAATAACAAAACTGTTGAAATGTATTTTAATTTTGATTTTTTCATACATGCAAATATTATAGGATGTTCATGCATTTTTAACTATTGCACTGAATGTACGTCCGGCATTCTCCTTTGAGACATTATTTACTTAGCGACGGACACAGGTTTTCCATAGTTAACCATCTATGGTTTTTGCCTGGGCGGTTTTTAATGTCAGTGATAGGGATACAATTTATTACATGTAAATTATTTTGCAAATGCATTGCAGTGCTTTATTGTTTCACATTCAATGTAATGTATGCTAAAAATTTATGTTTTGTTACATGTATCAAAATAAACGCCAGCTGCTCCAACTAAGCTAACCTGGCTTACATCATAGGTGTTGTATTATTTGAGGTGTAGTCTGTCAAATAATGATGCGTCGAGTGTTTGAATCTGTAGATGACCATTTCTAATACTAATTTCCACTGGAAATGGATACAAGATAATAAAAACAATATATGACATTTGTCTTAAAATTCTGGGTACTGACTAGATTAGATTCTTTAAACGAAGTGTGAAAATCCAAAGAATAAGTGTATTAAACAATAGTCAGCATTTAAATAAGAATTTTCTACAATATGTATATTTAATGAACTTTAATATGGCATTAAAGGTGAAAGGTTGTATTTAATTATCTTTTCGTGTAATTAAAGGTTACCTTTTCACCTTTACTTTTTGTAAAGTTAATACAAAGATGACCTTGCTTTTGGGAGCACCTTTAATGAAATTTACTTCACAAGTAAAGTTTTGTAAAGGTGTTTTTTCAAGCAGTGTATATGTCATTGTTCTCTCCCATTCAAGGTAATAAATCACATTACCAAAATCACGTAGGCACAAGGGCATATCCTATCTTATCTAAATTAAACAATGTATAATATTAAGGTGAATATTCTTAAATTTAAAAAAATTGCTGCACAAATAAGCTTTCTCAATCGATAAAAAAAATTTAGGAAACTTACACTGGTCTGTGAATTTTTACCATGTTTAAACTTAAAACTGCACGAATAGTAACTAAACAGTTGCAGTGCCGACATTTGTGCAGCACTATCTTAAATCCTTGGAATATTCTGCGTCTTTTAATACATTGTTTCTGTAAAACAAAGTAAGGTATGCCCTTGCGCCGAAGCAATTTTGTTGATGTTTCTTATAAACTTGTGTAGTATAGGTCGATGACATCATAATATGACATCATAATGTGCATTAGCTATCACATGTCGTGGGTACCAAGAATATATTAGAAAACAAGTCTTAATATTTTCCGTGCAGGTAGAGCAATTATGGAATTTAATTAGATAAATTGCATAGAAACCTCCATATGTGTCCTTAACTCACTTGCGTGGGTTAATTTATCCAGTCTTCTCTGGGGTACAAAGAGCAGTTAAAATTCTGAATTAAATTTTAAATTGCTTAGTTGTTAAACAAGTGGCATGTCTATCAAATAATTTAGGTACATGTTTAATATAAGCATGGATCCTTGAGGAAAGGAGTTTAAACCTTAGTCGAAAAATTCCAAACCAAGTAATTCCTAAAAAGTATAAGATTGAAAAGGCATTTATATAAGGAAACAAAAGACGTTTGAATTAGAATGACCTGAATAGCCATCAGTTATATAAAAATTTGTATAGAGTCATGCATTCAAAAGTGAGCTGAAGAAACCGACAGAGAAATCAGAAGCCGACAAAAAACAAACAAACAAAATAAAAAAAACAGTGAAATATCAAATAATGAAACAAATGTGCCAGACTCTGTGGTATCTTTTTTCTCAAGTTCACCAGAATATATCATATCGATGTAGGAATGGAAATTATTACTATTAATTGACAATACGTGGTCGATATATCTAAATGTCGCGTTGAAGGCCACAGCAAGTGTTTCCTTCTTTTCTACTTGAAACAGACTTGCATGCTCTGCTCAATCGACCGTAAAAGAAGGATATAGAGATAGCACTCAAAACCAAAGTCCATAAAGCAATACAAAATCAGAGCAGAGCAAACACGGACCTCCAAAACATCGCAAGTGGAAATCAGGTGCCACGGAGGAGTGAGCATTTTTGCTGACCGGTCTCACTCGCCGTGCTCTTTGTCATAATCAGCAAATAAAGGAGAAATCCGTCGTCAATTCGGTATATGAATAATGGATTAACAATTAGTATGAAAAACGTCCGTCAGCATTTGACTCAATGATAAATTGAATTTGCTTACAAGGTCATTATATCGACAATAGAACTTGTGAAATGATAATTTTAATCGAGACTGATGATATATTTGTTTCAGCAACTTGCTTGTCAATAATTAACGTCGTTTTTGAAATTGTTCATACGCACAGCAAGCTCTTGCGTATCGAATTAACTGAGATATAAATCACGTATGCAGGTGATAAAGGTATATTGCTGCATAAGTAAGGGTCGTTGACAATAGAAAATTTAAAGTCGTCACGTTTATCAGATAACTTGGTTGTTAGGTTACCATTAACGTCTTTTTCAAGCAAAATATCAAAGTATTAAACAGAAGTGTCGGACTCTGTGGTATCTTTAATCTCAAGCTCATCTGGATATATCGTATCGACATAGGAATTGAAATTACTGTAGTTAATTGACAGTAGGTCGTTGATATATCTGAAAGTCGAATTGAGGGCACAGCAGGTGTTTTCTTCTTTTCATACATAAGAATTTGCATTCTTCTTAATATGAATACAAAAATAGGTCTGCTAATAACGGAGCGCAATTGGTTCCCATGGGAATTCCAATAGATTGTTGGAAGGCCGGAGTGACATATCTTGCATTTCAGAATGTAGCCGCCCTGCTCACCAATCTAATCCGGTTGGAAAATAATACAACAGATGTAATTTCTTTATTAAATGTTTAATAACATATACCTTTCTTTATTAAAACGTTTACAAACAAATGTCAATATATTTGTTAGTTTGTGATTCTTTAAACAAGAACTGGTTTGTACAAGAAATGTTTTAAATGCAGAAAATTATTTAGGAAATGTTGCTTTTGAATGGATTTATCAACAACAAAGAATTCTAACACTCTGTAAAACAAAATGTAGCAAGTTGTAATGTTCTACAATTTCTCCATCCTTATACGTGAAATATTCAGCTGATTGATATCAAACTTATGTATGTTGCAGCAAGAACAATATGTTTGCCTTTAAAAGAGATGCAGTGCAGTGCCATGAGTGTTTCACGTTTTTTTTTCAGCTTTTATTTAAAAAAAATATTTCATGGTTGCATTCTTGTAAATATTCCTGTAAATACGATGTCAATCCCGACTAAATTTAATCAGTAGTATATATAGCGTATCTACGTCACACGGGAGTTCCCCTACGCACGCGGGTCTATTTTTATAACAGTAGCAAAGGTAAACAAAACATGGCTCCAAATCGCCGAGAAATGACAAGTGCTCTAAAACAACAAATACTACGATTAAATAATGAGGGTAGGAAAAAAGCACAAAAAGCACAAATAGCACAAATAACTGGATACGATCGATCTACCATATCGAAGTTTTTGAAACGTTATGCAACACGAAAAAGTATCGACAATGACCCACGAAGCGGACGACCAAAAAAAATGAGTGTCAAGTCCAAATGGATTTTGAAAAGGTTAGTTCTCCGAGATCGTAAGCAAAATTTAGGAGATTTAACAGAAGAATTTAATCGTTCTGTGCCTCGTCCAGTTTCTAAACGGTCTGTTCAGAGAAAATTACATCTTTTGAGTTACACACGACATAAAGTAGCGAAAACCCTCACAATATCAGCTGTCAGCAGAAAAAGACAAATTGATTGGTGTCAAAACCAAAGAAATTGGACTGTAGATAATCAATGGAAAAATATTATATTTTCTGATGAAACGCAAGTTGTTCTTGGGTCTGATCAACGTATGTACGCTTGGAGGAAAGCAGATGAAAAGTGGAGGCCCAAGTGTTTCGGACTGCGTTCAGTGCGCAATGGCGGCGTCCGTATCACCGTCTCATTTTGGGGTTGTATTTCCTACTCTTGCGTTGATATCCTAACCCCCATTGATGGTAATTTGAATACAGAGAAGTATATAAATATATTGGACAATCATTTATGGCAAGTTATCGCGAAACATTTTGGTAATTCTCCTTGGATTTTTCAAGATGACAATTGCCCATGTCACATGTCTGAACGGGCTAAAAATTGGAAAAATGACAAAAATATTCCGTGTTTAGACTGGCCATCGCAATCTCCTGATAATAATGTGATAGAAAATGTCTGGATGATAATAAAAATCAGACTTGGGCGAGAGCAACACCAGATTAAATCCAAACAAGAACTTGTAAATGCTGTGTTGCGGATCTGGGATTCGTTGACTCAAGGCTATATACAGTGTCTCTACGGAACCATACCTAGACGAATACAAGCTGTTCTAAAAGCCAAGGGTCATGCTACAAAGTATTGACAGTTTCAAGGTATCATCTTCAGTGGTATTTTTGTAAGTAAACCTTATTTTACCTAAAGATAATTCGTTTAGAATTTGCAATGTCATGAAAACGTGAAACACGTATGGCACGGCATTGTATATTAAAAATGTTGCTATCTGGATTTTCTTAAAATAATGTGTGATATATATGTGATACTTTATCGAATTTCATGCATTTTTAACGAAAAAGATTTTTTCTTTCTTAATTTATAAAGGACTAAAAGGACAAGAAAAATTATCAAAATTACACAGAGTATTATCAACGGAATTATGAAAACTAGATTGTCACTGTTTTGCTTTTTCGTAGTGCTGATTGTTGTATAATCAGCAGACTTATTCGGCAAATGTGTTACAGCTGTAGAGAGATATGAACTTAATAACAGGTTTGTTGAAAACGAAGTACCAGTTTGCCGTTCAGCAGTAGATTTTGTACCACTCACGGTTGATCCAATTCCATTTCCAAACGTTATATTTTTTGTTAAAGATGCACTAGTTGTTTCTGAAAGTAAAATATGCATAGACATGTAAAAAAAAAAAAAAAAACTTTTCGTGTAAATGCTCATTGATCATACAAGTGTTTACTAATTTTAAATTGGTAATTATATAACATATACCAAGTTAAGTTTTCGTGTTAAGTTTTTTTTTCATTTGGAATATATAAGGAATTTTACGGTATATACATTTTACAAAAAAGGCAAAGCTGATAAATTATAGCAAAAAAGATGGGAAACTTGAAATAATAATAAATACATCAGAGAAGTCAAATCGTATTGTATATTTGAAGCATGTTTTTGTATGGTTTAAAATTTGCACTTTTTACTTTAAAAAATATCGTCTACGAGGTAAATTATTGAAAAGCAAGTTTATGAAACAAGAATATCAGCAGTCTCGTTTAAATTCATCATTTCATAAATTCTTTGGTCCATACAATGACCTTATCAGTAAATACAATTTATCATTGCGTCAAATGCTGACTGATGCTTTTAGTCCATTATTTATACACTGAATTTACGACTATTTTTTTCCGTCATTTCCTTATCAGGTCAAGAAGCACATGGCGAGTTTGACCAGTCAGCAAGGGATCCTCACTCCTCCATGGCACCTTATCAAATTTCTTATGTTTCGGAGGTCCGTGTTTGCTCTGCTCTTATTATTTATTGTTTTATGGACTTTGAGATTGAATACTGTCTGTTATCTCCATATCTTTCCTTTCTATTTGTAAGACATTTTTCAACTCTTATATTATACGCAGAAATATGTTTTGAACAAACATATAAGTAAGATGTTTTGAAAACTTAAGTAGCTTTACAGTTGCGTATTAATAATACCTTCGTAATATGAGTTGCATTTTTGGCCACTATATAATTTCCGAACGCTTGCCATTCCTATCATGTGGATATGCCAAGAAAAGAGTATACCTACAAATTATAAGAGTATGAATAAGTACGACAAGGAATAAGAATTGTATTATAACACAGGAACTTATATTTCTATGCCACCGCAAACGAAGTTTCTGGGATATATAGTTTTTGTCGTGTCCGTCTGTCTGTCTCTCTGTCTGTCTAGCTGTCTGTCTCCCTGTCTGTTTGTTTGTCTGCAAAAACTTTATCCTTGCCCATAACTTTTGATTTAGGTTGACTTTCATATTTCATATGTGTAATTCTTGAGACAAGATCTTTCCTTGGGTACCACCAAATTTGACCTTCTGACCTTGATCTTGGGGCTTGACTCACTTTTACACAAAAAATCAAAAATTTTACTTTGGCCATAACGTTTAAGCAGTATATACCAGAACAATTTTATTTTACATATATATACATTTTTTTGTGAAAAGTCATATCAATGGATACCAACAAACTTGACCTTTTGACCTTGACCCTGGATATTTACGTACTGATGAAAAATTTTAACCTTGGCAATAGCTTATGTTTGGTAAGGACTAGAACTTTCATACTTCACATGTAATCCTTGTAAAAAGACTTTTCGTGGGATACCAAAAGGTTTGACCCTCTGACCTTGAACTTGGAGTTTTACCTACTTAAAAAAACAACTTTGGCCACATCTTTTTAAGGGTATAAGCTGTGACTTTCATACTTTATTTTTTTATCCTTGTGACAAAACCTTTAATTTGAAAACGAAACCTTTTAATTTGACCTAGGAGTTTGACCTATTTTCAATATTTTTAACCTTGGCCACAACTTTTGAAAGGTTAGTGCTGAACTTCCATACTTATATATATATTATATATATATATATATATATATATATATATATATATATATATATATATATATATATATATATATATATATATATATATATATATATATTCTGTGTAGAAATACTGTATAGGGGATTAATTTCACGGGTTGTGATTTTCACGTTTTTCTCTTGTTTGACACAATCACGGTTTCTTGAATTCGCGGAATTGGTATATGATAAAAGTTACCTCCCTTGTCTATATTCGTTTAATCTATACCGCTACATATAAACTACATTCTTCAGCGTTGTTTTTATTTCACGAACAACAGGGGAGGTTTATATAAAATTGATAGATTTAATTAATAATTCATTAATACAAGCGCAGTTATTGAACGTCCTACACTCTAAACGTCAAATGACTTTACTTTATGCTATTACTATGAGTGCATGTGCACCAAAGATCTTCAATACAACGCGGCGAAAAACCACTGGACAGAAGTAAATGTATTTATGTAGTTCGCTGAAATATTATCTTCCACATCCTAAGTTCGATATTTATTTGAATGATATTTTAAAACCAAAATGTTGATAGAAACTAACATGCATGATAATGCAGGTAACAAATACACGTGGTAAAATTAATTACGCACGGGTAATCAAATCCCATGGCCCACGTGTTTTGATTGATGAAACATGTAGCGTTGGCTATTAAAACAGCTCTTGAACAAACACGAGTTATTATCTGCCGATTTGAATTAAAGTAAAGCGTGATAATTTAATTAATTGAATGACGAATACTACTCGTAATTACTGAAACGACCATGTACTGCACGTACATGAATATCAACCTGTCGTAGTCAACCTATCGTAGTCTATTCTCAAAATTCCAAATAAAACATGGAGATTATTGTATATTTATTCACTGTTTCTTGAATTCACGGATTTATTAACACCGTGAATATAGCGAATATTAACACCGCGAGTTATTTTCCCCCTATACAGTACCTTTCATTGGGTATCAATGACATTGACATTTTGACCTTGACCGTAAAGATTTTGGGACTTATAAAAAACATTAACCTTGGCAATATTTTTTTTAAAGTAAGGGCTAGGGCTTTAATACTTTACATATATAATTCTCGTGACAAGACATCTCATTTAATTTCAATGACTTTGACCTTCTGACCTTGATCTTGGTTTTTTTACTTCCTTTTAAAATCTTTTTCACCTTTACCATTCCTTTTGTACGGTTAGAGCTAAGGCTTCCATACTTCACTCATGTGTTCTTTGTGGAAAGATCTCTCATTGGGTATCAATAACCTTGACCTTCTGACCTTGATCCTGAAGATAACGGTACTATGAAAAAAACACTTTAGTCTAGACATAACATGGGAACAGATGATGATATGGCTTTCATTTAACACAATTGTATTTCCAGTTAGGAGACCCTACATTGGGTACCAATATATTAAGTTTGCATTTAGGGAAAGTTTAATCTTATCTATGTTGCCATACGGGGGTATCAGTGTTTCAAAAACATATCTTGTTCTAAATGCTTCTAAAACTTGAAAGATATCGTTTTTAGCCTTTTGTACCTTGTAGCTTTCAATGAAAATTAAAACAATTAATATTTCATGAACTACAATATTTCATTTATAAAATACCATTAACAGGCACAATATCATTGACTTGGAGTATCCACATGCCACTTGGATTTTCTCCCCAGAACTGCACTGACGTCACATTTATGGTTAAAACTTTTCTGTAGTCTATATGCCGTCCAGGTATGATTGTAGTATTGGTTCCACAAGGAGATGTTAAAGTTATCTCAAGAAAACCAGCCCGGTTTGAAGAAACGTTAAGATATATTGTTACATGTTCAAGTTCTTCTATACCACAATAAGATGGAGATACACTCATCTGAATGCGATCGTTTAGTCTATAAATATATGAATATCAATATATTACAAAATTATCATATTTTTCTTTTCCATGAGTAAAATGATTGATAAAATTAAAGATCTTAAATATTAAATTATTAATAATGCATATGGTCGAATGCTATGGAAAATCTAAATTCACAGTTACATTTTGATGTGCAGTTGAACCATGTAATTTAAGATAAGGATACACTCTTTAAATCTCTTGGGATCGTGCCAAGCGTATAAGAAATATACAAATATCATGATACTTTACTCTGTAAAAGATACCATAAAATCTCTTGGGATCGTGCCAAACGCAAAAGATATATACAGATATCATGATACTTTACTCTGCGAAAGAAACAGTAAAGGCTATTTTGAGATACGTTGATGCTGTTTCATTGGCTAAAGCCATATGTTCAAAAATGCATAATCATAGTATAATTGTTACATTTGTAGAAATGCTTTAAGAATATTATTATTCTCCTTTTCTCGGTATGCTTACTATCCTAACCCAGACAAAAAGTTCGAAATTATAAAGGAAATTGTATTGAGATTTATACTTAACTTTAAAAAAAATCTTTACAAGTTGACAACCTTTCTGGTATTTCTGAAATCAGTGTCTTAAATGAAGAACCAAGACCCGTGTAGGTGGGGTTGTTGGGTTTGAAATTGTTTCAACGATTGTGATGTTAATGGTGTGCGAACTGACGAACGACATGTTTCATAAAATAACTTAATCAAAAGTTCTAGAATAACAATTTACTCTCATGCTTTTATTTTCTATAAGAAAATCCAATTGTATTTTAGCTTCAAACAAGGGCTTTTTTCTCTTACGTTTGAGGAATTTGCTCCTGGTTGAAGATGTTTTCACAATAAATCTCTTTAGGTACATTTTGCCACTCCCGACTTTCCTGAACAAGACGTCCAATATCCAACAGTCCAAAACCAAAGGTAACAGAAGCTTAAATATCAATTGAAAATTCCATATTTTTGCTGTCTTCTTAATTCGAAAGTTAACATCTTGTTTGTTTTTTTTAATAGCAAAAGATTTACTTTTTAAACCAGCTCCATTTAAAACAAAATCATCAGGATGGAAAGGTAGATTTGAATTGGCTGTCTTAACAAGAAGATGCATAACATCTCTGTACCCTACGTTTTGACTGCAATGTAAAAAAAAACAGAAGCATTTGAAAACAGTCTAGAGAATCGCTATTCAGATTCCCTGAAACGCTTTAGTACAAATAAACTAAAGCTTAATAAAGTAAACAACAGACAAATAGAGTACTGAAGGATATGGAGATAACGCAGTTTTCAAAATCAAAGTCCATAGAACGATACAAAATATAAGCAGAGCAAACACAGACAACTAAAACATCGGAGATAGAACAGGTGCAGTGTAAGAGTGAAAATCTTATGCTGACAGGTTACACTTGCCATGTGCTCTTTGTCATTATCAGGAAATTACGGAAAAATTCATCGTCTATTCGGTGTATAAGAAATAGACTAACAATTAGTATGAAAAACGTCGGTCAAAATAAGACACAATGATAATTTGTATTTTATGTCAAGGTCATCGTATCGACCATTAAAGTTACGAAATGATGACTTTTAACAAAACTAATATCCTTGTGTTATCAACGTACTTTTCAATAATTTACCTCGTTTTAGAAATCGTTCCTACGTAGAGCATGCTCTTGCGTATCGAATCAGCTGAGATACATAAACTCCGTATCAAGGTGATGAGAGTATATTGCTGCATAAAAAAGGTAAGTTAACTATAGAATTGCAAAAGTCATCAAATTTATATGATGTGTGCTAATATTGATATTATCATCTTTTTTTTTAATTTTGACCCGTGTGTACGTCCCCTTCAATGTATTTTCTATCGAAATGTTTTAATTAATTTATTTTCTTCTACCTAATCATGTGTAAACATACAAAAACTCCTTGTTTCCATCTGTCGTTATATAAAAGGCATACATTTACATTGGAATGAAACTGCAATTAAATCGAAACATGAGGTACGGTTGAATCATTTTAATTCGTGGGGATCAATGTTCGTGGGTAGGCAAAATTTTGTTTGTTCATGGGGACGTTATTTCGTGGGTAACTCATAAATACAAAAGATGCAATAAATAAATATGTTTACAAAATAAATGTTTGTGGGGATGAAAATTCGTGGATAAGGGTGACCCACGAAATCCACGAACATTGGTCCCCCACGAACATTGATGATTCCAGAGAATTTGTTAATTTACGGTGTTGTATTGTCTATTTATTTTGTTATGTGTTTTATTGCGATTATTTTTCCCAACTTTGATCCGTAGTTTATTTCAGTTATCATATTCTGGGCCTCTTATTTGAATACTCTTCTTGGTACCTGTTCACCACACTTATATTATTTATTTACTTGAATTGGTAAGGCTTTATCCCTTCTTAGAACCGGCTTTCGGACACAAATACACAGGCTCAGAATGCAAGTCACTTCTCTTATTCGTAAAATCTTATCAAGTTAAAGAACATGTTTTTTCTTAGTGTTAAGGACTTCTGAGGTGAGTTATATGTTTAATTTATAATTTTTTCTCTGTTTTGTTAATTTAAGGGTTAATTTAATATAATTATTATTTAGGTAAATTATTGACAAACACGTTGATGAAATAAGAATATCAGCAGTCTTGTTTAAACTCATCAATTCGTAAGTTACATGGTCGATACAATGCCTTTGTAAGCAAATGCTATTTATCATTGAGTCAAATGCTGACAGACGTTTTTCATACTCATTGTTTGTCCATTACTTTTACACTGAAACAGTATAGGACTTTCCTGTTATTTCCCGATGATGACAGGAGCACATGGAGGGTGTAAACGGTCGGCGGGGGATTCTCACTCAGCCTCGATACCTGATCCACCTCTGATGTTTTGGAGGCCAGCGTTTGCTCTCCTTCTTTTTTGAATTGTTTTCTTTGGAGTTTTTATTTTGAATACTATTTGTTATCTCATTCTGTGACATTGAGTAAATAACAATGAATTGAAGAGTCATTACAAACGCCTTTTATCCAATCTGCATGCATGTTGATTTTCCCTTTGTTGTACTTTCACGGTGTTCAACATTTGTGACGTCAAAATAAATTGCATTCTTTGATCTTCTGACCCACATCCCGTGTTATGGTATATCAATGAAATAACCTTCCCAAAACTTTATAAACAAAATGCATATATGAAATGTAAATATTTCATATTTAATGAAACCAAATATAAGTATTTATAGCATACATGTATATCACGATTGAGGAGATGTATTTTTAAGCTGCAGTTCTAGGTGCTATTTATGCACGCACTTTATGTCGAATTTTGGTCTAAATGTAAAATATCATGCCCTAAATATAATTCTCTTTCATGTATCTTTTTTTTTCATAAATTGAGTACGATAAAGTCTATCCTCTAATTTTCATGAGTAAAATATCTATGTAACACTGGTTACGAACAGTCAGCAACATTATTTCGTTATCGGCAGAACAAAGGTTATATATTTTGTATACTTGGCAGGCCTTCTAAGCTTTCATGTCATTCACTAAATTTTTGTTAAATTCAATCAATATAAATTTTTCTCATACTAGGTGAAAATTATGAGTACTTCTTGTTTTGCGTTTTCTTCCGGAAGTATACTATTTGGTTTTGTTTGGATTGATTCGAAGAAGCAATTTTTTACACCACGAGTCCACAACATTGAGCATGTCCTGCATGTTTTCCTTCGGAGAAATAATTGTAATATCGTCCGCAAACAGTAATACACTTAAGTGAAGATTTTCTTCAATCTGTACTCCATAATTTAATGCTTTAATGGCTGTAGCAATATCATTGATGGAAATTGCAAGTTATGTGGGCGACAAATTATCTCTTTCATACAAATAGAATAGGAGTCTGCTGCTAAATATGGAAATGGATATTTTGTACACTTCATATAAAAACCTGATTCCACGGTATTTCAATGGAATTCTAAGATCGGATTTGTTGTCTTTGATACTATATAAATGCTTTACGCCAGGTATGTGATACAACTCCAGTATTAATGCATAACTGAAACATTTTGTGCAATGTTTTGACGACGTTTTTTTATTTTTCAAAACTTCATACGGCAGTCCATCTACTTTTACAGACTTGCCGTTTTTTTTTGTTTTTTTTTTTTTTGTTATTGTTGTTGTCTTATAGACAACTTTTCGGATTTCCAATTCGTTTAATTGCGAATTTGAACAAGTATTGGTATATACAAGGAGACAAGCATCATACGTTCTAAGTGTAATTTTTGGTTGATAGCCTCGTTTTTAAATTTTTGGTAAAATTTTGGATCAGAATCAGGTTTACATGTTAATCGTTATATCATGTTTGTTTTAGTAAATGAACATCTGAACTAACTTCTTGGTCGTCATAACATTGTGTAGAGTATTTTTTAATAAGGACTCAATATCTAAAGCTTAGGTTCATATATGTTTTCTTTCATAGTAACAGATACGTTTGCCTAAGATGCTTTGAACATGTTTATAATTTTAACATAATTCATGCTCCTTTTATGTTGATCTTCATGTATCTCATAGTTTTCCACAGTTCCTTTAGCTAATTGTTCCAGTATGGTTTGTGAATATACACATTTTTCTTTCATTTTCTTGACCAATCATAGCTAGGTATTTATTCCATCATTCACTAATAACAATTTCAAAGAAATTTTCAAAGATTCTGTTTATTTTTCTTGAAGTTTCACAACATACTATTTTTCTAACAAGTAAATTATTGCGTGTATGGCTGGATTAGAATTTATGAAATCGCTTGGAATTCGTCGACTCTGTGTTCATTGACTTTGCTGGGGTTGTGTTCATTTTTAAAATCTTGCACCGAGTAAAAAACATTGCGATGAACACATATATAGTTAACTACTGATTGTCTACGTTTAAAATGGTATTCAAACTGATTTGTCTGTTCTCCGAAACGGCCATTTAAGGTACAGAATCGACTTTCATTTAGAAATTTTAAAAATGAACTTCCATGTTGCTTATGGGTAATGTCAACAGAGAAACGTAGCGGTATATTATCGAGGAAGTCGTTACAGTCTTTTATATCTCCGATTCTTGCAGGTCACCACATACAATTATGACATCCGATTCATAATTTTAAAAAACATTGCGATAATAAATGTGAGCAGAATAAAGAAGCATTTCCCCACGGTGAATTTTCGGGAAGGAGGAATACAGTGAAGTGAAACATTGTAATCTTTCAATATTAATTGCTTTGGTGATGATATCGGATTATTTGGATTCCCCATCCAAATGAGAGCTATCTGAGCTACCTCCATTTGCCATTTTTACTGGCTTTGGAGTTTTTTTTAGCACCTGAAGATAACCTTCGTTTACTGTCTGACATACATGTATCATAAGACGTATCTATGAGAAAATCCAAGTCTCCATTAACTGTGATAGTGAAGCTTTAAAATGTCAATAAACTCCTTTCAAAATGCAGCTCAAATCTGAACAAAGTCTATCTTCACGCATAGATGTAGGCCCAATTATGTAGTGTGTTTACATATTATTCACTGTGGTTATTTTTTTCTGCACATACTATATGTTAATCCGTGCAAGTCCCTTGCTGGGACCGTTCTCAATTCAATACAAAATTAGGTATAATATGTTATTTTTATGAGAATTAAGGTTATCTGAAAATAAAGATTAATACAGATAAGATAAGTTTGAAAACTTCTCTTTCTGTGCGTCTTTATTCCGTTTACTTCTTCCTATTAATTGTTAACAGTATTGCGTAGGAAATGATCATTGTTAAAGGTGGTTTATACAGGTTACCGTAACAGAGTAGATGACTATAATAATATAATGTCGGATAATCTTACTTCGCTTGTAGCAATAATGCAATTGCTCCAGATACCATAGGAACAGCTGCTGAATTTCTTCCAAAGTATGGTGTACTCCCATTCAGTCCATCTGTTGTTTTCTTTAAAAAAAAAATAGACAACTTGAAATCTATTTTACAGTAAAAAAAATAATTACATCAAAGATTGATAAAATCTAAAATACAATGCATATTTTATATTTTGAAAATTATGATTGCACATATATGCATAGAGCTTTTTTTTTTTTTTTTTTTTTTTATTAATAGAAAATTTTTTTTTTATTTACATTTCCATTGCATATAAACAAAATTCCATATAAATTGCTCGCTACATAATGGTATATATACAAAGGATTTTAAACTCACACACACACCCTCCATTACATTCACTCACACATATCGGATTTAACTGGAATTACGTGTATACGGAAAAATTAAGGCTGCTTTTATAATTCCCTACTTCAATTGTTCACAAATCATAAAAAGCGATTATCAAAAGCAAACATACTAAAAGACATTTAAATTATATTCAGATCAAAATAAATATGTCAATTTGATTCAAACATTTTCTTCCAGGAGTCCCATTTTTTATCAAAAAATGACAGTATAGAGTTATTAATTGATACACACCTCTCACTATTATATTTCAATTTCAAATGATTTACCAAACCAAGAAAGTTTGGTTTTATACATTGTAATAAGCAACTAAAAATATATTGCTTAGTATATAATATAACAAAGTTTATAATTATGTTATCTTTAGTGAATGGCATTTCACCTAAAATAATATTTTTGAAATTAAAACCAATTCTTTTAGTAGTTGCTCTATAGATATGCATACTCAAATTTCTCCATAAATTCACTACATCATAACAAGTTACAAATACATGTTGAATAGTTTCAGTATCCTCTTTACAAAAGCTACATGAATCAGATGTTTTTATATTAATTTTCTTAAGATAGTACCCGACAGGTAGAATTCTATGAAGAAGTCGGTATTGAAGCCATTGTACTGAAGAATCATTTGTTGTCTTGAAACACACTCGAAAAACATCTTGAGTGCATATTTCACTCACTCCATGAGAAGACAGCTCTAAATTCCACTTTGAAATTGCTGTAGGCTTTAAACAATTTTTGTTTATGACATTGTAAACAATTTTTGAACATTTTGTATTTGAAAAAATACATTCAAAATAAAAAGGTAAATAAGGTAGACAACTTTTTTACTATTTTGTTTTCTTAATATATTTTAAAAACATTTTGCAATGGCACTAATAACACTATTGTACTGCATTACATTTACAGTAGGAAGATTAAAATTTTTTTGGAAAGCAGACTTTGAAAGAAAACTGCATTCTTCAGACAGAAAATCTCCAACAGTTTTGACACCTTTCTGATACCAATTTTCTATAAAAATACTCTTATTTTCAATCTTGATGTTTGAGTTGTACCATATTGGAATATTACAAGCCTTAGTTTTTATGTCCATGTCATGTTCTACCTTTTTCATAACATATTTCCAAGAACTAAAAACATCCAACCAAAAAGGGTTATTCTTTGACATTATGACATTAGAAATGTATTCATCTCCATAATCTAAAATTTGTTTTATAACATCATTTCCATTAATTGCCAGGAATCTATCAAACCATGGTTGGTTTGTTGCAGTCAACAGTCTTTTGACCCAAGTGCATTTCAAGGATTTCATAAAATTGTCAATATTTACCATCTTTATACCTCCAGACAGATTATCCTGAATAACTATTGTTCTCTTGATTTTTTCACATTTTGATTTCCATACAAATTAAATAATTATTTAATAAAGAAATTTTGTCAATGCTAGGTGCAGGAAGAGAAATAAATAAATGATTGAGTTTTGGTAATATAAGGGTTTTAACAACAGTAACTCGACCAATGGGTGTTAGTATTCGTCGATTCCATTGTTGAATCAATGATTTTACCTTAGGTAGAATTTGATCATAATTTATGTCAGTTATTGTTTCTAAATCTACTGAAAAATTTATGCCTAGCAAGGAGAAGGTTGTTGACCCCCAATCTAACTTCCATCTCGGGTGGTGAAAAACTTGGTTTGAAAATTTTTTTGAACCAATCCAAATAATTTTTGTTTTAGTACTGTTTATTTTCAGCCCAGATAACCGTGAAAAAAAATCTAAAGTTTCAAGAGCTGCAAAAAGTGATTTTGGTGAACCATCAAGGGCAAGCGAAGTGTCATCAGCATATTGGGAAATTTTATGTTCTTTCTCCTGAATAATAATGCCTTTAATATAATTTCACCCTCTTCAACCCATCTCGCGCGTGATCTGATTAAATGGCCCTGCATTTTTTCTCGTCTTAAATTTTCGAGAGATTTTTTTTTTCCTCATAAATAACTGTGTTGCTTTTATTTTGTAACTCTAATTCTTCTATTTCTTCTATTTCTTCTACTTATGATTTTTCAAGTTCATCTCTCTTCTTTTTCTTATATGAGGAATATGAAATGGTTACTCCCCTTATTTCCATTAGAAGAACTTCTAAAAATAGACTGTCATCAATACAGAAAATATCATCAATAGATGTTTTGCTTTGTAGATATTTCAATTTTACTTTTTCAATTTCTTGTTTAACTTTTTCCACATATGTCATGTCATACAGCAAACTATTATTAAATTTCCACAGGCCACATCCTCTCTCAAAAGAGTTGAACTTAAGTTCTAAAACTACAATCGAATGATCTGATCTATAGCCAGGTTTTATTGTAAAATTTTCTACTAAGTTGGATAAACCTTCAGATATAAGAATATAATCAAGCCGACCTTGCTTGCATGGATTTTTTTTCCTCCATGTGTACACTTTTTTTTCTGGGTTCAAAATCCGGAAGTAATCAACAAGATGAAGATCCTCCATAACTTCTATAAGTTTGTCTCTAGCCTTTGGATTGTTCACATGAGTATAATTATATGTATCGATAGCAGGGTTCAAAGCAAGATTTAGATCACCACATAGTATGAAATATTCATTGTCAAATTCCAAAAAAATTTCACGAATTTTTTCATAAAATTCTGGACAATCGAGATTTGGACAATAAACATTAATAAGAGTTAATCTGTTATCCTCAACTGTTATATCTAGTGCAACTAGATTTCCCTCACAATCCTTTTTTTCTTTATGGATTTTAAATTCAAAGTTGTTATTAAATAAGACACTAACACCACGTGAATTGGACCTGAAAGAACTAAAAATACATTTATATCCCCATTGAGCTTCTATATTTGGTTCTAAATCATCAGTAAAATGTGTATCTTGTAAACATAGGATAGAAAGACCCTTTTTCTTATAATAATTAAGAACATCACGCCGCTTCTGAGGTGTTGCTAGCCCCTGACAGTTCACCGTTGCAATCGTCACTGAGTTATTCATTTGTAAACAATTTCAAAACATTAAGCAACCTCCAAGCAAGTAATCCGATATAATAAACACTCTCATACTCGTTCATACTTTCACCCCCACCTTAAATACAAACAAAAGAGGCAAATGGTTTTGCAAACAAAAGCAAGCAAAGATGTCTGTACAAAGAAAATAAAAGGACACGGCAAATTGTTCTCAGTGAAAAATCTAAGACCAAAAAAAGAGCTTTTACATTTACGATAAATGGAGCCTGTATATTCACATACCTTTTCAGCCCATGCCGAATTTCCCGTTACCGGAAATAAACATTCGCTAAATAAACATAATGGAGAAAACCGGAAATAACACAACCTTGTGATCTCCGGAAAAAAATTCATGCCTTAACTCATAAGGCATATCCAAAGTTCAAATACAAAAAGCAATTTCCATGATTACTAATTATAAATATAACCTGAAAATATTACAGTGTTTTTAATTACCCAAATACAGTCTAGAACTGCAAGTTTGATGAATTGTATTTAAACTTTATTTAAAGCATCCATCATGGTGTTTTCCATAATTTGGAAACGCTTTGGCCCGAGATGTCTCCCCATCATCCTTGAAATTACTATCGCCATATTGACACGGCTCTGATCCTGCAATATAACCAGCATCTTGCGGCCCGCTCCGAACTCCCCATCATCACAATATCCTTCGTGAAGAATCCCGTTATTGTCCTTGAAGCGGTAGATCAAAATATTATGGTTGGCCCGTCCGTACAAGGGATCAATCGAAACTTTCTTATAGAAGTTTCTCACCTTTGCAAAAGCGTTAACATCAACTGCCGCCGCACTGAATTGATTTCCCCCATCTGAGTGAGTGTCTGATCTTTTGGTCGAAATTCCTTCAATTTTCTCGATCTCCTTACTGTCCATTTGTAGAAGTTCCTCTGCGTTTGGAGTTGAAACCTTATCCTTGTAAACAGTTCCGTGCATAGAGCTTAACTCCGGTTTTACAGAAGTCCTCCCATGAGGGTAACACTTTCTTCCCGAGGAAATAGACATGAATTCCTGAAGTGTCCATTTCATTAAGAGTCATACCGTTCACGGTAGCTCAGTCGGTAGAGCGCTCGCTCTGTGATCGGGAGGTCGTTAGTTCGTATCTCGGCCGCGACTGACTTAAGTCGATAAAAAAAAGGGTAGCAACTGTTCTTTCGCCATGAGCTCGGCACTTTGAAGTGAAAGTTGCGGTTCCTTTGGATGAGACCTTAAAAACCGAGGCCCCGTGTCAGCGGCAGGCGTTGGCAGGATAAAGATCCCTCACTGTTCAATGGCCCTGAGTGCCGAGTAAAGGTCAAAATTTGAAGCCCTTCACCGCCATACGGTGACGTCTTCATATGAGTGAAAAATTCTCGAGAGGGACGTTAAACAATACACAATCAATCAATCAATCATTAAGAGTCAGTCAGCATGTAAGGACATTAAATCCACCAAGGAATTTCAGAAATGATAACTTTAAAAAATATTTCTGATATTTTTGATTGCTAAAATCATCTGCCAATAAATTTGTCAGTTAATTGTAAGGTTATGATCGAACACACACGGTCCGGAAAGAATTAAAAACCTTGCCAGCGAGCTTGTAAAAGAAAAGGGTAAGAAACTGCAAAAACGTCAAATGGGGAAACAACCAGGACTTTTCAAATATAAGCGTCAACGGTT